AGTAAATTAGCATACTTTTGATATTCACTTTATTCAAAAATCTTTTATGTTTTATTCACTTGTCATATTATATGTAAGCTCATCTTTTGTTTTTTATTAATTTGTAAAATGTTTTTGTATTTTTAACTTATTAAAAAGCTGAGTTTTAGCTGTTCTAGAATTTCAGTATTTTCCAATGTGTTTATTTCTATTTTTGTTAATGTTACTTCACTTACTTTTACTTTCCTTTGGATGATTCTTTTGTTATTTCTCTTACATGAAATTTAATGGATGTTTAATTTAATTCTTGTCTCACTTTTATTCCTAGTAACAAAGAAACTATATTTTTGAAAAAAAAAAAACAAAAACAAACCAAAAAACTAACAAATAAAATGTCTCATTAGGATAATGTTTTAACTCTTCTAAATGCCTTCCTGTCTATCTTCTCATTTGATTCTCAGATCAAACCCCTGAAGTTGGAGTTTGTAATTATTATTTATCTCCACATATCAGATGGAGAAACCAAGAGGCCAATAAGTTAATTAAATGACTCATTTAAGGTAGAATAGCTAATTAGTGACAAAGTTAAATCTCAAATTTCAAAACTAAAATACTGTAATAATAATGGAAAAAGTCTACTTTGGGAAGGCTAGCCAAAATTATAATGGATGTATTTTTTCGATCTAAAAGTATTCTCATCCAGTTGTAAGCCTTTACCATCCACATGCTAACAATTCCCACATTCTATTTCTGCCCTGACCTCTACCTTGAGATCCAGGTTTGTAAATCCAAATGCTTATTGAAGCTCCTCTTGGGTGCCTCATAGGTATCACAATAGGAACAGTACCAAATTGTGAGTCTCAGTGCCATCCCCAACATATTCTTTTTGCAGTTAACCATGACAGTAAATGACAACTTGTTCATCCAGTTGCTTAAGATATCAGTCTTGGTGTTATTATTGCCTCTCCTCTTTCTCGCATACCCTACATCACATTCATCAGCCAATTTTGTTGGTTTTACTTCCAAGACATGTCCAGAATATGACAAGTTGTGTTGTACATTGGGATCCTGGGAAGCTGCTGCAGAAAACCATTAGCATATAGGAAATTATTTGGGAGTGCTCTTGGCGTTGCCCATCTGTGAATGTGAGGGGGTGTAAGCAGGACTGGACAAGGAACAAGTTGTGCTACAACTCAGGGAAGGTCTCAGTCAATCCCACAGGGAGGTCTGAGACTGGGATGACTTTCATCAATGCCCTCATGGTGGATAATGTCTCTGTTGTGTAGACCAGTGAGTGGATACAGACTGATCACAGGAAGGGGGTATAATCCTGGGTGAGGCAGCTCTCTTCCAGCTAAGGACAGTCAAAGGAATGATTATTATGGAGGAAATAATCAGAGTGATGTGATAGTTTGGGATTGAGAGGCCACTTTAGAACGAATGGTTAAGAGATGCTCTTTTAAGGGTGCTTGACTTGAGACCTGGATAACTGAATGATGGGCCAGATCCAGCCCCTCCAAGAGGCAGGCGAAAGAGATTAAGGTGAGAATGAGCTTGGTGGGTAGAAGGGTCAGATTGAAAACCAGAGTGGCTGGCTAGAAGGTACTGAGGCTGGGGAAGGTGATAGGAGATGGAGTTGGACATACAGATGTGGGCTTGATTGTGAAGGAAGTTGGATTTTATCCTAAGTGTGAAGGAAAGCCGTGGGAACTTTGAGGTACACAATGTCTCTCCGGCTGCTATTGGAGAATGGCTTTGAGGAGGTTAGGAAGGAAAGCAGAGAAACTCATTTTGGCAGCTATTGTCCCTGTCCAGGAGAGAGATGAGTTTTGGCTCCAATTATAGTGGTGGCCAGGGAACTGGGAAGAGCTAGAAAGATATCAGATATATTTTGTGTTGGAGCTAATGGTAGATTGGGTGTGAGATTGAGGGAAAGCAAGCAACCATGGAGACTAAGTGTTGGGTTGGAGCAACAGGATGAAGGGTGATCTAATGGAAGGGTTAGAGACTGTGCATGTAAATGTATGTTAATAGTATATCATAGATAACATTTATTTTAATAAAAATAAGAATTTTATATTTGTTGTAGTTCCAGATATTGACTTCTCTTATGGAACTTAAAAAACTGGTGGACATTAGTTTACGTTAGATACATTTCTCCAGATATGGAGGCCAGTGAAAATAGAATCTAGCTAGCTGTTTATGTTTAGATCTCACAGATAGTAACTGCTTGACTTCCTTGCTTCACCTCAGACCAAGTTCACACTTCTCCATTAACTGAACTACTCTATGGAACATTTGTCTAAACAGTGTGGATTAGCCATATTAAGCATTTCAGACATATTTACATTCCAAGATTTGCACTTCTCACTACACTCTGTCCCTCTTAGGGGAGTGGTGAGTGAATACAAACACCCATTTACATTAGGTTCTGAGAATTACGTGGCTCACCATATACCTGGAAAAAAGAATGAACTCTGTTTGCCATTCTATATGAAGAATCTCAAGAACAGAAGCAGAGATTGACATAAGCCCCCAGAGGAGCCTCAGAAAGGGCTGAAGAAGAGTCCTCTCTCTTCCTGTGGCACTTCCTTTGGTTTTTCTCATTCCATGCTTGCACATGGCCACTGTGGCTCATAGATATGGGAAGGTTGTAGTCTGGGAGTGTGGTTCTGATGGACTCTGGATTATGTCCCAATCTTGCCTTCATTGTGCCATGGTGATTAATGTTTAATGCAATGCTGTACTGGAAGGTTTGCTTGAGAGCCCTGAAGACCAAAATCTTTTCTGTGAGAGCTATCCAGCACGCGTCACTGCATTTGCAAGTATCCTCAAAAACAGGTCAATGTTTGTGCTCCGTATTGATTTTTTTAGGGATTTGAGGGAATGTCATGAGCCATACTCTTGATCTTTGACTCTTTCACTGAATTCTTAATTAAATTTGTAATAGACATAACAGCACCAGAAGAGTGACCTGACTAGGAGAACTGTTATACATGGGTTTGGGTTGCCAAGGTAGGCAGCGCATTCTATTTCCCGGATGGTTTTGGTGCAACCCTACCTGGCACTTCAGAGATGGGTAGTGGTCATGTCCACTCTCGTGCCTGGTTATACACCAGGATGGAAAAACATGGAGAGGGACCGCCAGTGCGTTGTGTGGAACATGAGGCAGCAAATCCTATCTCAACTTCTTATCCATAGAAATTTGCCAAAGGAAGTGTTTTGGTGCCAAGCAAACTAATTGAATTTCAGTCTCATGAAGATTTCTGTCCATCAGTAAAATATTTATTAATTTCTTGCCAAATGTAAACATTTAACAAAGTACAATAAAATGAAACTGAATGTTAAAAACTTTTATGAGATTTCACATGGTATTTATTTAGATTTGGGTATGATCTTTTGAAGGACTCTAACTATTTTGAAGAAAGCCATTTTTTTTTTCTTATTTTTGTATACAGTGTCCATTTTCAGAGTCTCTTTTGCCTGTGAGTTGAGAGAGATGGGGCTCATGGGAGAATGTGGGTTCTGGCTTTCGGGCTCCTTTGCAGTCTTCATTCATCTCTGGCATTCTTATTCATCTATTCAGGAAAGACAGTGACTCATGAAGAGTCACAAAACAGTCAGGGCAAAGACTGAAATTTTCTCCTTTTCAAAGCCGGTTAGTCAGTCAACAAACAATACCAAGTGCCTGCCAAGCACCAAGGTCAGCCCTGTAGACAGAGGTGAAAACCGCTGTGACTGCACAGGGGCAATTGCTATTTAGAAGAGGTTATTTGGATGGTTGAGAGGAGACAGAGAATTTGCACATAATTGATACTTTCAGCTGGATTAAGAAAGATACACTTGAGGTTTGGGATTCAGCATCCCAATCCATAAAAAGGGAGTAGCAGGACTCTGCCCACTCTAAGATCACTGACAGAGTGTTCATTTAGGGTCCTGTGGAAGGAAGGTGACTGCTGTGGGCAGAAAGGGATGAGCAGCAGGAGGGAAGGCCACACAAAAAAGGAAAATAGAAGAAAATGTCCCTAAAGCATGCTATGATTGAGGTTTTGCATTTTTAGGAGATTATCTATATACACAGGGAAGGTATGTTTAAAGAAAGATTAATGATTGTTAGAGCAGGAAATGACTTCAGAGATTATTGGGTTTAGAGATTCTCTAACTTTGGTGTGTATCAGAATAATCTCTTGGGGAGTTCATAAAAAAAAATTACAGATGCAGAGACCCTACTCCAATGGCCAAGACGCTCCCCAGGCGATTCCAAAGTACAATGTGGCTTGAGAAGTACTTATTTGTCCAGTTTTCTTATTTTATAGAGGAGGCTGACATCCTGAGGGGTTAACGTGCCTGCGCAAGGTCATATCAATTCCCTCCCCAGTTTAATCTTTATTGGCTATACGCCCAGGCAAGAAAAAAATGCATCCACTTTGGGAAGTATCCAGAGATAATTTTTTCTTCTGTTTATGTTAGGAAAGAACAGAAATGTGTAAGCACATTAAGAAAAAATTACTACATATTATTTGTGAGTATAGTCAAATAAAGTTTTGTGATAGGTAAAACTAGATTTTTACTTTCTCTTTTTTGCCTACAATTTAAAAAGATATTTAGTTGATGAGCTCTTCCTCCCAGAGATGATATGGTGCTAGGCATGGTAAACTGGATTTCACCACAACCCTAACATAGGTGGACAAGGCTTATTTTATTTTATTTTTTTAGACGAGGAAACAGAGATAAGTGGTGTCATACCATTATAATGGAACTGGAACGTTCCTGACCCTCACATGTGTGCTGGGTCCTGGGTTCATAGCCTCATTGTTCACAAGACCTAGAGTCCAAGGTACTGCAAAATAAGTTTGGGTTTAGGTTCAATTTACCTGTATTCCACCCTTGCCTTTCTGGCAATGATTAACACTAGTGTTTAATGCATGGTCTGAGGTATATTCTTTAAACTCTCTTACCAAATAGAAGGTCAAGGTTGTTTTTTTTGTTGTTGTTGTTTCTTTTTTTTTGGAATGAACCAGCTCTCCAGATGTTTGTAGCGCTGGAAATTGCTTCTCCAGTGGTGGAGATACAGAGCCCAGCTGCCAGGGGAAACAGCCACTTCCTAATGTAACTGCTCAGAAATGCTGGAGGAGAAAATGTAAGAAAAGAAATTGCTTCCCTGTTTTATAAAAAGTCAATTGTGTTTTCCAACGGTGTACCAGTACTCTGAATCATTTATCAACGTGAGTAACTGTGGTTGAATTTCACTGTTAGGTTTACTTGGGACTCACATTAATCTTTCTCGTCTACATAATGTGTCAGATTTCTCTGATGACCAGCAGTCCACAAAGGGGCCTAAGTACAGTCTTGGGGAGGAAGTTTTAATAAGACTCAAACTTAAACCAGAGGCCATTTTGACTTTTCCTGGAGGGGAAGCCAGAAGAAACGCTCCTTCAGATCAAGTCAGGACAATTTGGTGATTTTTTTTCTCCATTTGTTTTAATTTTTTGTGATTATATCAGTCTAAATTATTGAAAAATTAATGTTCAATTAAGATTGGAATTAAGCCAGAGTCACAGAATGGTGGCTAGCCAGGAAGCTTCGTTGGCTCAGATAGCAGCTACTTGAATTGTTCTATTCTGCTCACCAGTGAGGCTACTGACCACTGCACATGTGTGTTTTCTGTGCCTGCAAGAATGTTAAGCTGTGGGTGCCTGGGTGGCTCAGTCGATTAAACGTCTGCCTTCGGCTCAGGTCATGATCCCAGGGTCCTGGGATCGAGTCCCATGTCGGGCTCTCTGCTCAGCGGGGAGCCTGCTTCTCCCTCTGCCTGCCACTATCCCTGCTTGTGCTCTCACTCTCCACTCTCTCAAATAAATAAAATCTTAAAAAAAAAAAAAAATAGAATGCTAAGCTGTAGTGTTCAGGCAGAATTCCTATGTAGAGAACTTCAAGGTTCCCTATTTGGGGCTCTGTTCTTTCAGAGATTACGTCAGCTGATCCCTGATCAGACTTCCTGTAGTTTTATGGAGTGTCAAGTGAGCTTTATGTTTATATAAGTTAGTGATATCCTTGCTAGTTTGCTGGACGTTGGTTAGCATGTATTAAAGATTCAAAATATCCACATAAAGTATATTGAATAGAAAATCTCCTTCCTTCTCTTATTTTCCAGCCATCTAATTCCCAATCATTGTTCCCAGTTTCTCATATATTTCTAGAGGTCTGTTAGATATTTATAAACATATACATACATTTGTACATATATATATTTTTTCATACAGATGATAAGTATTGTGTATATATATTTTCTTTTCATACAGATAGTAGCATACTGTATACAGTCTTCTGAACCATATCATTTTCCTCTTAACTATATCTTGGAGATCTACCCATCTCGATACATGACAACTCAATCAGTTCAGACTGATTATCTCAGTCTTCCATGGAAGAGCATTTAGGTTTCCAATTTTTTGTTATTACATAAAAAAGTGAATTTTCACCTGTGAGAATATATTTATGGGTAAATATCCATGAGTCACCTGCTGGTTCAAATGACACATGTACTTTCAATTTTAGTGATTATTGTCAAATTGCCTTCCAAGAGGTTATGATAATTTATATTCCCACCAGCAATGCAGCAATGTACCTGTTTCTATAAATTATTGCCAACATAGTATTCTCAAATATTTTGATCTTTGCCAATCTGATTGTTGAATGCTGGTCTCTCATTGTAGCTTAAGTTTATATCTCTTTTATTTTGAGTGGTATAGTGCATTTAAAAAATTTTTCTTCCAATTGATTTGTAAGAGCTCTTTATTTATGGACAAAATTAGTTCTTAGTCTGTGATACAAAGCCTTTTTAAATCTTGCCATAAAACCAAGAAGCCACAAAAGCAATGATTGATAGATTCAACTACATAAAAATGTTTAAATTTCTGTATATCTTTTACAGATATAATTTTACAGATAAAATTTACAAAGTAAAATTTCTTTTGATCTTGCTCATGGTATTCTGAGATATACAGAAATTTAAACATTTTTATGTAGTTGAATCTATCAATCATTGCTTTTGTGGCTTCTTGGTTTTATGGCAAGATTTAAAAAGGCCTTCTTCACCTTGAGGTTATTAAAATATTCTCCAACCTTTCCCCTCCTCATTCTTTTATGGTTTCCTTTGTCATTTAAATCTTGATCTATCTGGAATTTTTTGTGGGTGTGTGGTGTGAGATAGGGATCCAACTTTCCCTCCAAGAGAGTTGTGGCACCTTTTGCATACTTACTGAGTTTTATGTTCTGGGCATCCCTGAACTATGCACGGTGTGGCTGCACAAGGTAGTGTGCCATCCCATTGCCAGTGTGTTTGCAATCAAGATATAGGAGGGCTTTGGAGGGGATGTTAAGAGTCTTATGGGAAGAGAATATTGACTCACTGGAAGAGAGGGAGCTGGAGTGAGAAGCTATGAGGGTGGTGGTATAAGTGGAGAAGACAAACATTTTAGATAAAGAGAAAAACAAGGGCTGTTTCTGCCATTGGGAATGGAATTCCTTTCAATATTTTGTATTCCTGTTATTTCCCTACACTGTGATGGAGGAAGTTTTAAAAGTTTGATTTAGGACAACTGAACAGGTTTTTGAAGATGTAAAATAATAGAAAAAAATATATATATATTGTTCTCTGCCCCCATTCCTGGTACAGAGCTCCTAAAACTTTTGTAATTTCCTAAGTGATAAGAGTACTAGGAGCATCTCTTTCTAATATTTAGTCTTTGACATGTTCCTGACACAGGAATCCTAAAACCCTTGTAAATTCCTAAGTGATAAGAGTACTGTGAGCATCTTTTGTTCCAGTGAGGGGACTCTGGGTAGGTCCTGGATGGCTCTTGGGTGGGAGCAGGTCACCAGAAAGACAAAACCATGATTAGAGCTTGGAATTTTAAGAGAGGGGAGAGGAGCTGGGAGTAGAATGAATAGTTGATCATGCCTACTTGAGGAGGTTTCCATATAAAACCTAGTTGTATGGGGTTCAGATAGCTTCCAAGTTGGCAAACAGGTGGAGGTGCTGGGAGAATGGTGTGCCCAGAGAGGACATGGAAGCTCAGCGCCTTCTCCACATACCTTGCCTTAAGCATCTCTTCCATCTGGATGTTCACCTGTATCCTTTATCATATCCTCTTCTAATAAACCAGTAAATGTAAGTCAACTGTTTGTTTTCCTGAGTTCCATGAGCCACTCTAGCGAATTAATTGAACGTGAGGAGGGTGTTGTGGGAACCTCAGCTTTAGGGCCAATAGGTCAGAAGCATGGGTGACAGCCTGGACTCGTAATTGGTATCTGAAGTGGGGGATAGTCTGGTGGGACTGAGCCCTGACCCTGTGGGATCTAATGCTATCTCCAGGTAGATAGTGTCAGAATGGAGTGAAATTGTAGGGCACCCAGCTGGTGCTGCAGAACAACCTGATGTGGATAAAACCTCTCAGACACTGCGTGCCCAGAAGTAAAGTGTGCCATGTGGGTCATCAAGGAGATAGATGGGGAAGAAATGCACGGTAGGGAAGAACTGAATTGTTTCCTACTCAAGAGGTAGACTGAACTGAATTTTTAGAATATGAAGGGCTTATGTTTATCTAACTTCAAATAAACTTTGTATTGGTAGCATCATCCTGTATATGCACCTATTAAGTGCATGATTGGTAACTTTCAGTGAATGCACATGGTACTCTTAGTTGGGTATACAAAGGGTACAACTTTAGTTTCGATTTTTTGTTCCCTGAGGGGCTGATATGTCCCACAAAAATGGTCTACATTTATTATATTTTTCTTCTGCTCTTGGCTAGAGGTTCATTTCTTTCGGCTTTCTGTGCTCACGGGAGAGATGAAGTCAGATTCTTATTGCTGAAGGTCTGATGTGTTAAACAGCTCAATAAGATTAAGAGATTGCCCAGGCCTTTCCAGGAAGTTTGCTGATTGGTGTCACTAAAAGTTCACAGGCTCCAGCTTCCCCCGAGTTCCTCCATGCTGCTCTCCAGTCCTGCTTTCGGCTGGCAGCTCTGTCTTTCATTTTCAGCCGATTGGAGTGTGCTTCTATCAACGTTTTGTATTTCTGCTCTTCAGGGGGCTGTGATGGGGGGAAGTTTTGGCTTTCTGATTTAGGACAACTGTGAACAGGGTTTTGAGGGTTTATGCACATCTGAATGTAGATAAAGCCTTGTTTTATTTAAAAAAATACCTTTTCCACACCTTTTCTGCTCTCCATTCATAGCATGAGGCCTCTCCTGCTTCCCAGAGGAAGAAGAGACCACTGGAGAGGAGCTCCTGCAATGAAAGTCCTGCTTCCAGTTAGCCTCTATCTGCATTCCCTTTCCTCCCTTCCTCCTTGTCGAACTGGAGGGGCTTTCCGTCCATCTCTCACCTGGAATCCATCACCTCCCATCTGCTCAGGAAGTCTGTTCCTTTCATCACCTCCTCTCTTTATATCAGCCTCTCTGTTCACATCCATATGGAATTGTGCTCACAAGGTCCTATTCTGAAAGTAAATAAATAAGCAGAAACTCTGCTTTGACTGCACCTTATCCCCTCCCACTCACAGCTGGAGTTTCTGGAGGTTGTCTACAGTCATCTGCCATTTGCCCTTCAGCCTTCAGTGGTAGGTTCTGAACCTGTTGCTTCACTGAAATGACTCTTGCCAAAATCTTCGAACGTCCTCCTCAATGCTGAATTTTACTGAAATTTCTAGTCTTTCTCCTGCTGAAGTTTGGGCCACTCTGTCATTGACCACTCCCTCCTTCCTCACATCTCCTCTTCCTTCTTGAGGCTCTCCCTGGCTGCTCTGTTGTCCTCAAGACTCTTCCTCCTTTGCCCATTTCCTGGTGCCAGATTTTCCTTCGGTTCTCTCCAAGTTCCTCATCTTGTCCCACCTTAGGAGAGCCAGCCACATCTAGCGCTTTGAGAGCAATGCGTCTGTACTTAGGATCCTAGTATCTCCAGTCCACCAGACTCAGATTTGACTCTTAATTCCAACCCTTTTAAGTTGTGTCATCTGGATGGGTCACTTAACTCCCATAACCTTAGTTTTCTCTTCTTTAAAATAGGCATAATAATTCCTATTGGGAGTAAATTAAATCATATAAACTCTATAAAACATTTCATTTATGATTGATT